CTCTTTATATCTCAAGAGATTTGACTCAAGATACAGCCTACACTAATACTGCCTCATTAACATAAAGACAACCCACTTCTAAATAGGCTAATAACCACAGGCATAGAGGTTAGGATTTACAACACATACATTTGGGGGACATAATCCAATCCATAAGAGACCCATACCATACCAAGGCAAACCAAAAGCTGAACAAGCAAGGCTGAATCTGGAAAAAGCCTTTAGAACAAATATACAATAGTTGAAAAGGCTCACACTGAATATTAGCCGTGATATACCAAGATAGTTCTCCCAGTTTTGATACTCGAGGGCACTGTGAAAAATGTCTATATGTGATTCCAATATCCTATCATTTGTGTTTGCAATGTAACAAGACTTTCACTATACTTCCGTTTATTAAAATGTTAGATCCAATTTTGGGGACATAAAATTTTTTCCAATATTTAACTAGCAGAAAAATGTAGAGTGATATGTCATCTGAACTTTGGGTATTAAAAATTGAGAATAATTCTACCAGAAAAACTTCAACGCGGGATATGTTCTCAGGATATGACAGTACTTTCTTTTCACTCCTGTGGCAAACTCAGGGTTGAGTCAAAGGGATATTGCCAAGAGGCTATGCCAGTTGCTCTCTTGTCAAGAATGTGAAATCTTGAATCATTCCATGGGTGAGGGGATGTTATACATGCCTCCCTTTCACCTCTCCATAAAACACGCACTCACATACACAGTCAGTGGAATGCTTTAAGTTATAATATATTCATGTATGTCTCCTCCATCAATCAGGAGAGAGATTTAAGTCTAATCTTATATTCTTTTCGTCTCAATGATCTGGAAAATATTAATTGTTCAAAAAGATGGCTTGGTGTGCAACAATCTCTTGGAGTGACTTCTGAATGAATTTATAAAATATGCAAATATAGGGTTGATATAAAGATTAATATACAGAAATAGACTAGCATACTTTTAGCATGAGGCAGATGTTCAATATTTGCTGACTGCAAATAAATGTAATCTTTAATTGGTTAGATCATCTTTTCAAAACAAAATACTGCAATTCCACTACTAGGTGTGTATATATATCCTAGAGAAATAAGAGCCGTAATACGAATATATATATATATATATATATATATATGCACACTCATGTTCATTGCAGCATTATTCACAATAGCAAAAAGATAAGAACCACCTATGTGCCCATCAACAGATGAATGGATAAACTATGGTACATACACAATGGAATACTATGCCACGTTGAAGAACAAGTGAATCCACAAAACATCTCACAACATGGATGAACCTAGAAGACATTATGCCTAGTGAAGTAAGTCAATTACAAAACGCCAAATATTATGAGACCAGTATTATCAAAATGTTTACACGCACACAACCAAAAACCTGCTTTTTCGCGTTTAAAAAAATTCTCATAGTACCTAAATTATTCTTACCTAATAAAAGGAGACTAGCCTTTAAAAATAAATGAGAAAATATTTGTTCTGCAAATCTTCATCTAAGGTACAAAAAAAAAAAAGAGAATTATATGTATGAGATCAAATTGACAACAGCAACTCAAAAGGTTTGATGGGAAGCCTAGGGGGCAGTGAGTTGAAGATAATGGTGATGGAATAATTTGGAAAAGGATAGTGAGAATAGCAGCACAACTGGAAGAATGTAATCGATGTCACTGAATTGTACAT